CAGACCCGGAAGTCTGAAGATCGCTGTGACAGTAGGAACTTCAGTCCAGATTGGAGGCAGAGGCCAGGGAGGCCACTGCGTGCTGATGCCTCGATGGGGCTAGGTGACAGCTTCCAGGAAGGACCCCTTCTGGATACACTCGAGTTGTTTGTAGGACAAGGGACGTGCCTTGGGAGCATGCTAAGTGGCACACGTCAGATACACAGCTTCACTGCCACATGGTTTCTCTATACGAGCAGCCTAAAATATAAATAAAGAGCAAAATTAAACATAGGCCGCAGGAAACAGGGAGCTAGATCTTTGCGGTGGAGAATGGGACCGAGAGATGGAGGGGGAGGGAGGGAACAAATCAATTAAGATGCCCTGGACGCACGTGCCAACTCCCCACGGAGTGTGATCATTCTTACTGGAATGAGTCCTCGTAAAAATGAAAATGAAAAACAAGGAAGGTGGCCTTCCCTTCTGGGAAAGGAAGAGAATTGCAATAATGCTGACTCTGAGTCGGAACCTCCAGGAAGGCCGACCCCAGGGCTTCTCCTCTTTACCATGGTCTCTACCACTTTTACTGTTTTGCTGAATTCCTCACCCATTTACCCCTGCTGGTTGATCCTGGCTTGCGCATCTTCACGCCTTGGGCATGGGGCTTCCCACCAGAGTAGCTCAGTTTCTTGGTAGGAGAGCAGGACTGGGTGAAAGGACTGCGAGCTACACCCCTCATGGATGTCCAAGCCATCTCCCAATTCTTCTCCCTTTCTCACGGGCTTCCAATGTACTTCATCTCCTCAACATGCTATAGCATTGTGTATGCTGGCTTTCAACTTGGCATCAGTTATGAGTTGGTTGGCAGCATTCAGGAGTGCAGCAGCTGGCGTGGTGATTGATGGCTCCGTTCTTTAAGTGACTGCTGATAGGGCCCAGGTTCCGTTCTGCTCCAGTTCATGCTGCTGTGAATGAAACCCAGTGGCAGCCAGAGTGCCAGCTCTCGCCAATACATCGTGGCCACGTCTGTCGTGCAGATCGGGTGTGTGCTTGTGTTGGTTCTACCTTGTGATTGTTTGCTTCAGACCTGGAGGTGACTTAGTGGGGTTTTGGTCAAGGGGAAACATGATGGAGCGGGAGCTAGAACTTCAGCAGTGGCAGCCGCTGGTCTGGTGCAGATCCACTCCAGGTACCCCAGAGAACAAAGTTGTCGAGCCATTTTCAAGTTCATATCATCCAACGCTTATTGGATAGGATTTGTCTTTTCTCTTTTCCTTTCCATCAGAAAGCAGAACATTAGGTGATGGGAGTAGAGAAAAAGGAACAGGACTCAGAGGGCCAGTTGCGCCTGCCCATCAACCACTGGATAGATAAAGAAGATGTGGGTTTCTTTTATACCCGTAGTAGAGTACCATGTGGCCACAAAGAAAGATAAAGTTGAAGTATTTCTAGGTAAATAGATGCACCTTGGGGCCATACTCTTAAATCTAATAAACTGGACACACAGATGTAAATGCTGCATTGTTTCTCTGGTGTGAGAAATCAAAAATGCAAATAAGGCCCAAAATGTATAATAGACATTGTAAAATAAGAAAACATTCAAATGGGAGGGGGAACTAGACAGGGGCAAGGGAAAATGAAGAAGGGCAAGAAAAAGAAAAAGGAAAAATGGACACAGAGCTTTTTTAAATGAGGGGAGAAGGGGTTGGAGGGAAGGACAGGAATAGAATAGAAAACAAAAGAATCAAGATGGCTTAGGCAGAGCACAGCGACCGGGGTTCAATCCTCAGGCCTGCCATGCTGGCCCTGCACCCCGGGGCATGCTGAGATGGTGATTGAGACTAGGTGTGGTGGCATATGCCTGTAATCCCAGAACGTGGGAGGCGGAAAACAGGAGGATCACTGAGTCTGATCTACGTAGTGAGACCCTGCAAACCCTGTAGACCCTGTACTAAATACATTTTTTTTTTTTTTTCGGAACCGGGGATTGAACTCAGGCCCTTGCGCTTGCCAGGGAAGCACTTATTCTACTGAACTATCTCCCCGGCCCCTAAATACATTTTTTAAAAAAGAATCAAGATGTGTCACGTATGGGTACACATTCCCTATGATGAATGTGATCATTGTGTATACCTAAAATGTACCAACAAAGTTCATTAATCTTTAAAAATTCTAGCACTATAAAGAAGTAAGTTTACTGTTACACAATAATAATCAGACACTTGGGAGGTGGGGGATGGGAGCTGAAACAGGGCCTCAGCCCAGGCTGATATTGAACTCTGTAGTCTTTCTGCCTCAGCCTCCTGAGGGCCGGGATAATTTTTAAAACCAATTAGCACTCATTGGAATGGGCTAGATCAAAGATTATAGCCTTGGTTTTGAAGGGATTTAGGGTGACTTCGCTTATGGTATGTGAGCTGTTTATCAACAGGAAACTGCCCTATTTGTTGTAGAAAATCCACCTAGACTACAATTTAGCCTGTTTTTACATGTAAATAATGCAGTGTAGGTAAATATACGTTGAAATAATTTACTTTTTCATTTCTCAGCCTCCCTAGTACTGGGATTACAGGGGTGCACCACCACACCCAGTTTCAGGGCTGGTACAGCATGCGGTACCAGGGGTCAAACTCTGGACCTTGTTCTTGCCAGGCAGGCACTTAGACCACCAAGCTATCTTTCAGACCATATAATCTGTTCTTTGAATCAAAATTTCATGGCCCAGTCAGACATGGTGGTACATGCCTATGATCCTAGTAATCTGAGAGGCCGAGGCAGGAAGATTGCAAGTTCAAATTCAGCGTGGGCAGTTTGGTGATTTAGCAAGACCCTGTCTTAAAAATAAAAAGTTGGTGCACATTCATGATGCATTTTTTTTTTTTTTTAACGTGTCCTCCCCTTCCCTACCTCAAAAATAGAAAAGTTAAGAAAAAAAAAGTCCACATTGTGCCATCTCCTGAGAATGGCGATCGGGTTGTGTGTTGCAGAAATGATTCTGCTTCACAGACAGCCCGGCCCCAGGCACCAGAGCCGCTTCTCTTGCCCGCAGCCTGGCTGTGGGTCTCTGTGCCGGGTGTGCTGGGTCTCCTGGGGAAATGCTTTTGGTTCATGGTGCTCAGTGCTGAGTCCTGACACATGGAGTCTAGCCATGGTGCTTTGATTCAGGAGGATTCATTTTCCTCTGTTGGCAGAGGAAGAGCGGTTCCCAATAGATGCGTGAGTGGTCTCCAAACAAGCAGTGTGTTTCAGGAGCCACAGACCACCCTTGCCACGTCTCCTGGTGTAAGTCAAAGCCCCTTCTCCAGAGAGGACCCCTTGAGTGGAAGCAGGTGAAGGGCAGTAGGGATGGAAACTGGAGGAGTCGCTGTGGCTGGAGAGCCAGCGCTCTGAGTGCCATGACCCCTCACTGTGCTCACTGTCCCCTCTGCGCTGAGAACAGTGCTGCCACAGTCGGGGTTGTGGCCTCTCCTGTCACCCACCTCCTTACAGATGCCAAGCCACCCCAGTGAGGAGGTCACTGGCATTGTAGTCACTCTGCTTCGTGCATCATGGTGCTCTCATGACAACAAAAGACCTGGTGGCTCCCGTTCCTTTGGGAGTGTTCTTACACAGCTAAACTTATCATCTACAGCTGGAGGCGAGAAAGAGCACTGAGGAGACCTCAAGAGGGGGTCCCTGCCCATGCCAAAAAAAGAGGCTCACAGTGACCTCGGCATCTGTCACTTTCCAGAATTCCCTGCATCTCCGAAGGGTGTGGCTTAGGACTCAAGTTCAGCCCTCTAAATGACCCTTTTATTTCCATTTTTAGAAACCTCTCAATGAAGCTACTTCTTCTTTATGCATAGCAGCGGAATTGAATACTTTGAAATTTCTGGCAACTGAAGTAAGGGTGGGGTTTTGCGTGTGCAATATCAGAATCTTCTTGGAAATGGATTTCGGGTGGGCTCTTGCAGCTACATGGAAAACTGGTGCCGGTACTGTGCCACTTAATCCTGATCGTCAATTTGAATGAATTAAGAGGCTCCTGGAGGAGTGAGTGGGTTTGAAGGGTGCTGATCTATCGATGGGATAACCCATGGGTGAGTTTGTAGCTGAGTGAGCAGTTTAGGAGATGGAACGTAGGCGGAGGAAGTGTGACCTTGGGACAGCATCTGGCTCCTTGCCCCTTCCTCACTGCTCCACCTCTGCTCTCTGCTTTCTGG